ATGATAAAACTTCAGTAAATCCATAATCCAAAATTGTTTGTACCAAATCTTTCTTCTTTTCATAGCTTTTATATTGGTCCAGTCTAGAATAATGGCTCTTTCAATAATCTAAGATTGAGAAATCGTGAAAAATTAATTGTCAATCGTAATAATTATAATAATAACGTCTTAATTGTAATCTCAAGTCATGAAATTCACTTACACTAGGTATATTGTTTATAACATGATCCATATTGAAAATTTAATAATGTGATTAGAGAAAAATTTGACAAAATTTACTTTGCTCTGACGTATATTTTTAGCTAAATTGCTTTTGTGGAAAAATGGATGAAAAAGAATTAATATGCATTTACAATTTACTCCATCCTTTGTAACAAACCAACCATTTTTTCCGAAATTTTGTGGGAAAAAATTTTTTTCTCCCCACCAACAACCACACCCAATATGAAATTTATTCCACTGATTACTCTGATCAATACTGATGGAAAATGATGACTCTCAATTCCGGAGAAGACCGGAGACCAATTTTAGAAATGCAATTTAACTAAGTTCGGTAGACGTTTGGTAGGTAAGTATCCTACTGGTTTGTCATTACGTTAAAACCCTGGCGGGGGGGGGGTTTCTCGCGAGTTAATCGAGCTCACTGGTCTTAGAGGTATCGCGAGAATGTTGATTTCTCCTACCTCGCGAGATAAATGATATCCATGTCCACTAAGATCACGCGAGTTAATGGGTTTCTCGGATTTCGCGAGATGAAAGAAAATATTTAGCAAGAAAAATTTGTTAAGTATAAAAAAAGTAGATGAAATATGGATGCAAATTTTTTATTGTTTTAATTTCAAATACCTAAAGTATTAATTGTTATGAATGTAAAAATTTTTTCTCTTTAATTATCTTCTGTTTTATTCTTTTTTATTCATAAACTATTTAATCACTTAGTACGGTTTTCATGCCACATTTGTACAACCGTTTTCAATGCACATTGATACTTAGCATCAGCAGGATGGAGTTGACATGGTTTCCCTCGTGGATTGGTAGCTAAATTAATCTTAATCCTTGGAATTCCCATACGACGGAGAACACCTTCAGCATCAGGAGAGACATAGGCCATGAGAAACTCATCCTGCGTGGTACTTGATCCATAAAAGTTGAAAGAAGACTAGTCGCTTGATTGACACGAAAGACCATCCATTACATTCGAATGGTAATCCATGAACCATTGATGTTTTGGCTATCGACCACGAACTTTCCACAGATATGTCGCAAGTTTTTGACGATGATCGATAGCAAAATGAAACTTTGATAGATCACTAAGAAGAGCAAGTTCACGTGGAATAAATAAACCATTGTTGGAAACCTTGAACATCAAAAAGCACAAATATTGGAATTCATTTTAAGGCGAATAAAATTTTGTAAACACACAAGCAGAAAGTTCAATTAAAATCAAGTTTATTAAATCGATTCATAAAGTTAAATGAATACAATCAATCACAAATCATTTTCAATACAATAATTAGAGAGCGAAACGTTATCTTATTCTCTTTCGCAAAATCTGCAAGATTTCCTGCAAATCCAGAGGAAATTACCTCCACAAATGAAGGTAAATCTGTTGACAAACCGTCAATCTTTCCAAAGGAAGCTGAGTAAAAATTGAAAAGTTCATCCGCTTTCCCTTTCATGGTGTTCTTTTGTTCATCCGTTAGCTTCCCGGGTTCAAGCAACTCTTCTTCCTCCCATTGCATCATAGGACTTTTGTTCTGACCATCAATAAATTTAGAGAATAAACACGCTTGTTGTAATAAAGAAGCTGGATATTTTCCAAGTGGATCTTTAACGAATTCATTAAGTAAGACTATACCAGGAATCAGATTATCCAGAATATTAAAGTATTTAGCTTCAATCTTCAGCTTTGCATACCTCTTCTCACATTGAAGATCACCAGAGTCAAGCTTAACGATAGAAAGCTCATCAATTCCAATTCATCTGCAGTTCCTTGATCATCATAGAAATGTATCTCCCAAGATGAATAAGTTCCCATCGCTTGAGGTTCAGTCCATTGAGTCGGATGATTGTTGTAGTAAAACCGAATGTCCGAACGTGTACAAGTAACATCTCCGAATTCATCTACTCCATAAGAAACGGTGATTTTCAAATCAGGGTTGATAACAATTGGCTTTAATGAGCTCCAGGTCAAAACAGGCATATTGATTTTTAAGTTGAAAACTAAGTATGATATTGATGGACGTTGATGAAGAGAAAACTTTAAACTGAATTGATTTCTTGATTTACTGGTCTTTTATAGCAAAAGAGATACAAGAGAAAAACTTTTCAAAATCTGTCGTAAGTGTCTTCTAGTTTTACCTCCGGTTGTAAGAGTTTTTTAAGTATATAACACATACTTTACCATCCCTCCAATAGATACCATTGAAAGTTCGGGTTCATATACATTATCATTGCTTTAACAAAAATTTACATCTATTCATGGTAAAATTTTCCTGAAGCAACGTAGTTACAAACTCTTACAAATTTAATTTTATCCAGAGGGAAGTGCTTTTGAACAAATGCACCTGCTGAAGTTATAGTTTTAAATCCTGTTGCATTAATTTTTCCTGATTCAAATACGAGTAAGCATTTACCTTTATCTCTGATCACATCGGCATTGAATCTCTTCTTTGTTTTTCCTGAAGCACCTTTTATAATAATACTTCGACACAAGTCCCAACACGAGACAATATTAGTAATTTTTGGTAGACTGTAATCTTTCATCTTCGAGTATCATTTTTCAACTGATCTTTAACGTAAAAAGGTGATCAACTAAATAGTACAAACAACTTCTTTTTAAATTCTCATTTATTAAGTGTTCATCATGATTGACAATATGGACGGTTTATTTGGTTTTGACGTTGACACCAAACAAGCCTGTTACTATGATTATAAAAATTTTCATTTCAAAAACATCTCTAGTGATGATGACCTAAGACTGTTTATCCACAGCTTTAATATCTCTGGTTTAGCTCCCTGTGTTGGTAATGATGCTTCCCGATTGTTTAAACCCTTAGAACTTGATCGTGCCAACGTTTGTGATTTCGGTATGAAAATTGCTTTGACACTTGCAGGTGAAATGGGAAAAGTCGGCGATTTTTTACGAAATATTAAGCCGCGAAATTGTACCTGTGGACTTATTGTGTACAAGAAGAAAAAAGTTATCAGCTAAGAGAATTGGTAATACTGAGTAAATTTGTCTTCACATTTTTTTGTGTACCAACAATAACCATAAATAAATCAATTGAAACTTTTTTTTTATTAAAGGGATCGTAATTTTATTTTATCTCAATTTTAATTTAGGTAGTTATTCTTCCCCTTCAAGATAATAATCCTTTTTAACCTTTTCAATATGCTTCTCAGCTTCTATAGCTAAATCGGCAGAATAGGCTCTTCGTCGGATCAGTCTACCACTTTGCCTCTCTGTAACATAAAACCAGGGAAATCTACCTGGTTTTCCGCTTCTTTTGCGAACATAACCTTCGAGGTTTTCTTCTGATCTTCGCACATGACACGAAATTTCGAAGCGCGAAGTGTCATTATAAGATCGCTTTGGAAACACATGCTGTTCCAGGCTACAAAAATTTTTTAAATTCTTTTTACAATACAAGCAAACAAAATAAAATGGATTAGCTTCGATATCTATTCTAAGCGCTTCATGATCACGCCGCAATTTGTCGTTCAATCGCCTAACCAGTTCAAGTGGTCGCTTAAGATGCTGAGGTGGATCGTCTTCGAGGTAGACATCTTCCTCGCTGCCACCACCGAAACCCCAGCTCCACAAATATTCCCGAATACCTGTTTCTGGGTCTGTTGCCCATGCCTTCAGCTCCATTGCATGCATGCCCTCCACATATCGAGCTTGTCCTGGTGCTCGTTGAGCCATGAATGATTGTTATAAATTTAATTACGAACGAAGCAGATAACCCAAAGAACTTCAACTAGTCTATTCAAAGACAAGGAACGAAGCAGATAACCCAAGGAACTTCAACTAGTCTATCTAAAGACAAAGAACGGAGCAGATAACCCAAGGAACTTCAACAAGTCTATCCAAAGACAAAGAACGAAGCAGATAACCCAAAGAACTTCAAATAGTCTATCCAAAGACAAAGAACGAAGCAGATAACCCAAGGAACTTCAACTAGTCTATCCAAAGACAAAGAACGAAGCAGATAACCCAAAGAACTTCAAATAGTCTATCCAAAGACAAAGAACGAAGCAGATAACCCAAAGAACTTCAACTAGTCTATCCAAAGACAAAGAACGAAGCAGATAATCCAAAGATCCTTAACAAGATGATTAAATCGTTTGAAGATGTAGTAATATTAAAACTGTTCAATAGTTACTTGTAGTATGTAAGTTTAATGTTCAACTGATGATTTCAATCATGATTCTCTTTCTTTTTATACGATCTTTTTCGTTTAAGCTGAATAAGCATATCTTCTGTATATCATCCATGATGAACATACATTGAAGTTTTTAATTTTCTATTTGTTTTTTATCTTTGCCAAACGTGGTAGATTTAAAGGCTTTTCTTTCATTAAATGAAAACAATAAATTGGTTAATTAAATAATCTACCTTTTTACCCTCTCCACCTGGATCATTACAATTAGATCAAAAGGAAAAGGAAATGATAAAAATAAGCATTTAATAAACTGCACAAGGTGTACAAATATATGCATTTAAGGGGTACCTGCATTTAAGGGGTACACTCTTATACTACTGAGGTTAATAGCATTTTTAATTATTATGGAATAATTACTACTAATCATTTTATAAAGAGTGATTTTAGTTCCATTTCAGTTTATATTCAGAATCGAAAAACCGAAAACGGTTCAGAATCAAATCTATACGATTTTGTTTTTATTCGTGACAAGTCAGCTCTTCTCATGTACAAAGATACCGAACCTGAAGTAAAATGCAATCAATACGAGCCATTATTGAAGAATCTCTTTGATTCACTGAAAGAAGGTGGATTTTGTCAAATTATGACGAGAACTAAATTAAGACCAGTCGAACAAGAATGGCAACAATTGATTGGAAATAATCAACAGATCAACTTTGATTTATCAACAATAAAAAGTATAGCAACCGATGCTGGACTCACGTGGATTTGTCACAAGGAGATGATCGGTGAAGGATATTGTTCAGTTCTACTGAGACGTCCATTCGCACCTAATCCAGATCAACAGGTAACATTTATCAGAGTCAAACTTGATAGCAATTATGATTGGATTGATAAGATAAAAGAATTGTCTAAAGATAAGAATCATAAAATCTGGTTAACTGGAGGTGGTTATGATAATGGGATAGTTGGACTCACTATGTCTCTGGTTAAAGATCCTCAATACAATTTGAGATGTTATTATGATCCAAGAAAAAGAGATGATGAAGAGATAATTGTCCCTGATGAAGTGATGCAAAGAGATTTGTTAGTAAATGAAGTTGATGATAACGGAGAAATTGGATTGTATAAAAGTGAACTTGCCAATCTTGATGATTTACAAATAGGAACAACGTCATGTTATGCTGATATTAAAAACAAAGGTGATCTTTCAAGTTTACGTTGGTTCCAATCACATCATAGTAATTGGACTTATATTCCTAAAGACAAGCTCATTGAAGATCGTGAAAAGATAACTATCTATTATGGGTCTTTGAATTTCAGGGATGTTCTAATTGTCACAGGAAGAATTACTACAAAATTTGACAACCGCGAGCTACAAGCTGGCCCGCTAATTGGAACCGAGTTTTCTGGGGTAGATTCATTAGGTAATCGAATCATGGGGATGTGTGAAGCTGGAGGAATTGGAACATCTCTTTGCACTAAAACTTATTTAACAAAGATTCCAGTTCCTGAACACTGGACATTAGCCGAAGCTGCTACAGTTCCTGTTGTCTATCTAACAGCTTATTATGGTTTAATTTCGGGAAATTTACAATCTGTGAGTGTGTTTTAATTCATGCAGGTTCAGGAGGAGTTGGTCAAGCAGCTATTTCGATCTGTCTATCAAGAGGTTGTCAAGTATTTACTACAGTTGGAACACAAGAGAAAAAGGACTTCATTAAGAAACGTTTCCCTTCAATCGATGATGATCATATTGGTGACTCTCGATCAACATCATTTGAAGATATGATTATGAAGATGACCGATGGTAGAGGTGTTGATTTAGTTTTAAACTCACTTTCTGATGATAACTAAAAGCTTCAATCAGATGCTTATCAGATTTCGGTCGTTCATCGAAATTGGCAAATATGATATGATCCAAAATAATCAAATTGGTAAGTTGTAAATATTTTCGCATTTAATTTGGCCAATGAAGTACAAATTATTAATACAATACCAAATAGATTCACAATTCATAGATTTCAACAAAACTTTTCATGCTTGTTGCTTGATGTTTCTACAAGATGATGTGTTCGTCAAGATGATTCCTGATCGGATAAAAGTTTGGAATGGTCTCATTGAGATGTTGAAAGAAGGAATCGAATCAGGTGAGGTTGTGCCTCTTCCAACAACGATATTCCAAATGAATCAGCTTGAAGAGTCGTTTCGGTTTATGGCAACAGGGAAACATATTGGTAAAGTTTTGATTCAAATGAGAGATGAAAATGAAGATCCAAATAAAGTTAAACTTTATCGTTCAATTGGTCAAACATTTTTCAATCTTGAAAAAAGTTACATAATAACTGGTGGACTTGGAGGATTAGGACTCGAAATTGCCTATTGGATGGTATCAAGAGGAGCGACTAATCTAACTCTTACTTCACGTTCTGGAATCAAGACAAAATACCAAGAGTATATTTTAGAAAGAATGAGAAACAATGGTTACTCTCGAGTGAATATTATCATCTCAAATGAAGATTGTTATACATATGAATCAACTGAGAGGCTAATTAATCAAGCACAAGAATTAGGCCAAATCGGTGGAGTATTTCATCTTTCAGTTGTTCTAAAAGACGGACTTTTTGAGAAGCAAACAGCTGAAACATTTGATGAAGCTGCCAAACCAAAAGCGATCGCTTGTCGTTATTTAGATCAACTAACTCGATCTCTACCCTACGATATTGATTACTTGTATGCTTTTCTTCAATAGCAGTTGAGTCGAAGTATTGCCCAGACAAATTATTGTTTCGGTAATACAGCGATGGAAAATATTTGTAAGAGAAGAAGATTAGATGGATTACATGGTTTGGCTATTCGATGGGGAGCAGTTAGATGTTGGTATAATTACAGAGATGAATTCACCATCCAATGAGATGTTGAGATCCCTTGCTCCGATGCGTTTGAATTTAGTATTGACTCACTTGACAAAACTTTATGTTCCTTTGTAATAATCATCTTATCATAGTTTCCTTGCCTGATAACAAAAGTGCATCATCAATAGGGAATAATTACTCATTGAAACAGAAAATTTTCCATATCCTTAGTGTTAAAGATGCAACTAAAGTTGACCCACAATCAACTTTATCTGAACTTGGTCTTGATTCATTGATGGCAGTTGAAATCAAACAAGCTCTGGACACTGATTACGATTATTCAATGACAACCAATGAAATTCGAGAATTGAAAGTTGGTGAATTAGATGAACTTGAAAAGAAATTAAAAAAATCAGAGAAGAAAAAAATCAAATCTGCTCATTCATTAACTGGATACAGAAATATTTTCCATATTTATACGCAATTGTTTGTCCCATTGAATCAAAGTGAATTTGGATCATCACTTTTATTTCCTACTCAATCAGGTCAATTCTGTGCCGTTATTCCAATATTTGAATCATTCTCAAAACCAGTGATCGGCATCAGTTGACCAAAGACTGTCAGAATCTCGAATCAATGGATGAAGTTGTTAACTTTTATGTAGATTCACTTACAACCAAATATCCAAATGAGAAAACATTTAATCTCATTGGTTACTCACTTGGTGGAGTGATTGCCTTAAAAGTGGCCATTGGCTTACAAAAGAAATTGAGTCAAAATTCGGTTAGAAATCTCATCATGATGGATTCAGCGCCCGAGATAGTTTACAACAAAATGAGAAACGCTTCTAAAGAATATGAAGGAAAAGATGAAAGCACCACATTTACATATTTGACTTTAGATTATCTTTCATATTATATGAAAAGTGATGAAAAAACGAAGTGAGAACAAAACTATTTGAGCTCAAAACGAAATCCGCAAAATTAGAATATGCAACTTCAACTATCAATAGGATAGGATCGTTTGAATATGATGTTAACCAGATAAGTGATGCTATCGATCTTTTTGCAGATAAAAAACGAAAAGCTACCGATATAAACGTGGACGGAAAATTCCACGGTGAAATTTTTTTAATGCGAGCAACAGATTCGGATGAAAACAATTCCGATTTCCATCATTTGGATGATTATGGATTATCCAAAGTAAGTTGGATTAAATTTATTTTTTATCAATTGATTATAAAATTTATAAGCAACAAATAGAAATTTAAAATCTACTTGTCTTTTTTATAGTATACAAATGGAGCTGTCGAGGTAGTAAGAGTTCCTGGAAATCACGATAACTTCATTATAAATGATTTGGGAAAATTATTGACACCTTGAAGTACTGCAATGAAAACTTCTACTGGATAAATAAAAAGTTTATACTGATCGATGTAAAGAGAAATTGTCAATTTCTATCGAGATTTAGAAATATCTTAGGGTGAATCAAAAGAACTGTTTTCAAATTCAATAGTTTTACTAACTATTAATAATTTACTTACAAATCGATTGCAGTTATTAGACAGAAAATAAGATTGTAAAAATTTATCATTATAATTATTTGAATATTCAATAGGTTGGACATTCAAAACTCATATGGACAAAATAATGATACAATTTGTTTATCTACCGGTGGTCAGTGAGGTTGGCCGAAATGTATTTAATATAAACCGACCATCAATTTTATTTATTAGTGATTTTAATTGAAGCGAGTGGTCAATTACACAATGGTTACATGAATATCGTGTCAAACATGGTCAAGTTTTGAGATGTATTATTATCCTAGGAGAGAGAAGAGAAAACTTTGATTAAAAATCAAATTCTAAGAATATTAATAATTTGATTAACACTTTACCCTTAAACACCATTGGGAAAATTCATCAAAGGTGATTACGCCATCATGATTTGAATCCATTTGCTGGATAAAATTTCAAATGAAAATGAACATATATTAAATTATATCATGTAAGATAATCAAAGAAGGTCAATTTCGAACATAAAAAATTTATCAACATGCTGACTTGATCTCCGAGCATCAAGTAAACCGCACGAACGATCGTTAAAAGTTCTTGCTACGAATCCGTCGCTATTAATATCGTACAAATTGAATATCCAACGAAGTTTTTCCGATGTCGATCCTCGAGATAAACTTGATAACATACAAATAAAATCCTAAGGAAATAAATCAACTAAGTTAATTCAGTTAAAATTACAAATTATACTTGTAAATAGGAGTAAACAATCAAATGGACGAAATTTTTCTCAATTTTCTGTTAATTATCAGCATTTAATGGGAAGCGGAAATTAGTTTTGAAATTCATTCCAGGATCAGCTCGATTGTACTTTTAAGATATCAAGGTTGTTTAACTTGTGTTCACATATTATCGAAATAGTACAATCATAATTGCGGGTCGTATTCAATGATTGAAAAATAGATGAAATTTAGTTTGAAAAGTTCTAAAATTTGACATTGGGTTGATTTAGGTTATTGAAATTAAATGGCAATTAAACCAATTATTAACGAACGGGAGTTATTGCTCAAATAGCCCACGAATGTTACAAACAAATAGCATGAAAGTCGCTGCATTTCCAACATGAACTGTAATCAAAGCATTACAATTAGTTGTTATTGATCAAAATCAATAATATAGACAATGTAATTAAAAGACTCACAATTATGAAAAAACTTGCGTAATTGTTGCTAAATCACCAACTTTAATCCCATTATATGGTCCAAGAGACCGATCCATTATTTCAAGTATCTAACAGAAAATGATATTTATTGTCAATTGTTGTAACAATAAACTCTATCCTCAAAAATTTACCTTTAATCTGATATTAATTGGTAATCTGGTTTCACAGCAGATTGAATGGAATCGTCTGTGTAATGTTTCAAGCTGAATGAATTGTTAAAATTGATTAGAGTAAATTAATAAGAATAAAGCTCAATCAATCTAAATGATAAAAATTGTAATAAAGTTTCAACCTTCAATAGATGCTGATCATCGTGAGGATAAAACATTCAATTTCAATTATATCTCATTTTAACTATCGATTGTCGATTAAAGCAAAATTGAAACTTCAATTTATTTCGACAATAAAACATAACAATGTAGTTAATAGATATGAGATTGATTTTTCAAATTGAATTACGCTTTCAATTAATTAATCATTTCTTCAAGTTGAAAATCGAAAAGTGAAAATTTTCTCATTGGCTTTATACTAAAATGGACATTGGTCAAACCGTCATGAAATCACCTACAAAGTAGCAACCAGCAAAGGTTAGCACTAAAGCCTAATACTGCATACATGTTGGCGACTAATCGGGAATGAGAAACGATGATAACGCCCAAAAAGATGAACAGATCGGCCGTAAAAGCGACCACCGTAAAATAATACAGCACCAAATATCGCAGTCGCTTGAAGTCAAATTCATAACTATTGAATCGGTGAGTCCAATTGCCGATAAGATTCGTAGCCCAATTGACAATTATCTTATAATTCGGCGTAAACTGAGCACATTTTAGATCGTGATTAGCGATAATTTCAATATCTCTGTGAATAGTTGATAGAAATGATTCCGAAGAACAAGTTTGTGAAACTTTTGATCTTTTAACTCGCTGCAACATTTTATCGCTACTTTTGAGCTCTCGATACTCCTTGAAGTCGTCGTTATGACGGCCAATTGATAAATTATTAATAGACTCGTTAGGAATGGATTTTGATTGTTCAACAACTGACTGTATACGATAGTAGTGGATAGCACAAATGAGAAACATGTAACCAGAGGTTGTTAACATCTCATTCGCAAGAAAAACAGCTGACCAAGTGTGAGTAAAAGACCAGAGAGTACCATAAATCGCCAGAGATGATATTTGATATGTGTAAGGATTGGTAAAAAAGGGTATATTGTACAAGATCACTATAAATGGAACCATACAGGTAATTATACGATTATAAAGGTTGAGTAAAAAGTGGACAGTCAACTGGAACTGTTTAGTCTGAGCTGTGGTCATTTTAAGATGTGAAGAGTTGAAGCCATGAGTACGAACATAGTCATAATCTGCAAGAACAGTACAATGATTTTGAGCTTCGCTACGTAAGAAAGCTTCACGAACGAGCATTGACACAGTTATTGAGAAAAGATTAAACATGCATATTGATATACGATCTTTTGACCGGAAAACATTGTCCCCTAGATAGATGAGAGTAGCTTCGTCCTTGATGAATATCAAACTAACGAAGCGAACAAAGTTTACGGCTGATGCCAGCCGAATACTCCAATTCTTAAGGTCAAATGGCAAGTTTGCATGAAGACTTGACGTTGAAAGTGTCACGTCCTTTGAGTTACTATTTTGATCTTTATCTTGACCATACTGACGGAATCCGTGCAACAATGTGCAAAAGAAAAGAGCATACTTTTCGTAGCGATTGATGGCCTCTTGAGTCGCTTCAACTGGAGCATCTATTTTGGGAACACCAAGTATCTGGTGGATGAAGATTCGCAATAGAAATCCAAAAAATTTGACCGAATCGCATTGATTAATCATTTTCAATTTCGTTAAACAATTCGTACAAAACCAATGAGCTTTTCAAAAGGCTTATATTAATAATCATAAATCATCAAAACACAATTGAGAGCTAATTGTCATCCATTTGGATGGTAGTTGATAACTGAAGAAAAAGTTTCAAGTTTGGTTGAATTATCATGTTTATTACGCTGAGAAAAAAGTTAGTCTATTGTTTCATTCATTTAATATTGTTAATTGTTAGTTTGCTTATTGTGATTAATATTGTAATGATCCAAAATTGAAAAGGTTATCGAGAAAATTATCTAATGTTGATTTAGGTGTTCACTTAATTAGTTAGTCCAAAGTCGTTTTTAATTAAGAAATTGCTACGAGAAAAACAAACAAAGATCAAGGTGATAATGAAGGAAAAAGTCAAGGTACCACGAATTGTAGACAGAGAAAATAGAAAGAGAGAAAATTTTGATATAAAAATAAGGTTGAATAACCAGTATAGTTAGTCTGGTTGTGGTCCCGATCTTAGTTGAAATTGGTTTGTGTGAGTATCCTCATCAAAGTGAAACGAAAATTGTAATTTGTTTAATATCGAAATTGAGAAGAAATTAAAGTTTGTGTTAAGTGAAAATAAATCAATTTCAATTTCATCATCAACCTCAACCTTACATTTGAGGACCCACTGAGAGCTCAGTGGTCAATATCAGAGATCAAAAACAACTTGATATATTTATTCAGTCAATTTCCCTCTTCTTTGTGTCTTTGTGTTTTTACTTTATGACCTCAAGTCCTGACCTTGAAACACTAACTTATTTCACCATGGCTGAAAGAAAACCTTATCCTTGGCCCCACCTCGTGGTCCAAAAATACCATCGTTTAGTGGTGCTTTCAGCAATGAAGCACTTAAATTCACCAAGTTCACCTCGTTGGCCAAGTGTATGGCTGGAACGATAAGGAACGGCTCGATAGGGTAAGTCTGTATCTCGAAGACACTGCTGCTTCTTGGTTTCAACAAGACATTAGTCCACATCAAGTGACCCTAATTATACTTGGGATGAATTTATATCTGATTTCAAATCGACCTTCTTACCCTCCGAGTATGAATCATATATTAATCAACAATTATCGAGTAGAAACAACGTTCAGATGAACCGGTCACTAAATTTATAATCGATGTCAAAGAATTATGCAAATTAAATAAGAATGAGAAAGAAACAATGCGTTATCTCTTCGAAGGTGTTAGGCCGATATTAAGACCGTTTTATATGGACTAAACCAACTACGATAAAAGAATTTACCGATCACGCAAAAATTGGAGCGAAATTTAATAATACCACAAATCCTGAGGTCGCTGAATTGAAACAGATGATAATGGAGTTAAAAAATGGACTAACCATGAGAACTACCCGAGTTAACCAGATAGAACCAGATTTATCCAGAAACGGTAAGCCTATAATCTGTTACTATTGTAACAAAGTAGGCCATATTCAGGCCAACTGTTATTTCCGTATTCAGTGACCAAGGCAAGCGCCAATCAACAAAGGCCTTTGTTCACCTCTAATCATCAACCAAATCGACCATTCCCAACTCACCCTCAACCCAGTTACCATCATCCAAGATACCAACCACCCAATTACCCACCGTATTCCCTTTTCCCAATTACCCTATTCTCATAATCAAACCCAAGCCCAAAGTTCCACCAACAATCACTCATTTCATAACTACCATATCAAAACCAAACCTCGTCTAATCAGTTACCCCCAGTGAACCGCCCGCAACAATATCCTCTGAATCATCATCATCGAGACCATCAAGTGAACCAACCAGTGACCCATCGACCGAACCCAGTGAACGTTCAGCAACCTTATAGTGCTGGTCACCCTCCACCGCCTCCCAGGGCAAACTGTTTAAGTGATTATGATGAAAATTACATTTTCATTCAGTGCTCAGTGAACAATAGAAAATTAAGAGGCCTCATTGACACTGGATCAACGGTCTCCATCATTAAACAAGCATGGGCTGATCCAAATCAAATCCAATATTATGGTGGCCCCGCAGTTAAATCAGCCAGTGGACATTGTTTGAACATCATCGGTCGCACCAGGTTATTAATAACCGCCGGGTCTCTAACCGTAGGAGTTTGGACCAACCTTCTGGTTGTTGACGATTCTTTCGCTTATGATCTTCTTCTTGGAAACAATTTCAACCGAGCAGCGAGGCTCCAGTTAGACCTTGGAACCATGGAGCTAGTCCAACAGTCCGCCAATGATGATAAGTACCCTGGAACTGTTTTTATTACAAATTTAGATAAAAATAACCTTTGTTTTAGTCCAACCGTAGACTTAGAGAATGGGTTAGTCCCATTAAAATTTGATGTAATTGATGAGAATAACCACGACACAAACCATTGCTTGACAGTTGAAACAGTTAACGATGTCGAAATGTTGCATGAGTGGAATTACTTTGACTTTTCACTTGAATCACCTCATCAAATTTTCAATTTAGACTTAGAGGTTAGTCCAAGTCCTGTTAGTCCGAATAGTTTCAGTCCGAAAATAGTTAGTCCAACCGAAGTTAGTCCAATCCAAGTTGTTTCATTCAACTCTGATCTAAGTTCTGAGTTTTATTGTGAAAACCCCGAACAATCAAACTTAGTCGTCGATAAACAACTAGAACTAAATCAACGTCTACCATATGATCCGTATGCATGTCCAACGCAGTTTTCCCTTATCGATTATGATTGTAACGAAAATGAAATGTATGTTAGTCCACCATGTTTTTATCAAAATGAGTCAGAGATGAATGATTTTCAACCCGCACATTCGGATATTGTTAAACAGTCAGAAATTCCAACACCTTCACCTCTATCATCCCCATCACCATCATCACCTGCTTTACCATCATCATCCGCATCGTCACCAGACAAATACGAACTTAAATTAGACCATTTGAAGAATGAACAAGAGAAAATAGTAAGAGAGACATTGGACGAGTTCAGTTTAGCTTTAACTTGCGAAAAGTCTAATTTAGGAAATTGTACATTATTTTACAATACAATTGATACTGGTGATTCAAAACCAATCCATAGTCATTCAGCCTATTCACAAATATTAGAAACACAAGGGGAGTTACCTTCAACCGACAATCATTCTCGCAATAGACCCAAAGTTAAGAACGAAGTTGATCCTAATCCATTATCCACTGTAGTTCGAGTTAAGGCACCTAACAACAAATCTCCAAAAAATAATTTGAAAGAAACTAATGTGCCTGAATCATCTTCACCTAACCTAACCCCTCGCAGATCCATTCGAATTAGAAACGTACCAATGAGATTTTCACCCATTTTATTGATTATTCTCATAGCATTAACCACCCTATCACCACCGATCAGTGAGTCAGTGTCGACCAAGTCCGATCTGATCATCTGGAGAACGTCTAACACCGCCCCTGTTAATGGTTCAGTTGGAGTTGACATAAACACGAAAACTTCATCACCTTTTTCACCTTTAGTCCATTCAATTATTTGCGCTAGATTTGACCACGAGTTTCCACATCGCTGGTGGCTTTATAAACCAGTTTTCTCACACAAAACTTAGAAATGTTTACCAGTGTCAACGATCAAGTGAATGCCGAAAAACAGTTGATAAGATTTGAACGATTTACCACCCTCAGTATCAAAAAGAAGAAGCAAGTCGAAAAGATCAACCCATCCTCACAAGACCCAATTCAATTAGCTCGTCGACGTTTAATTAGATCAATCCCAAGATTTGACTTTCCACCTCTCCCACCACCAATTTTGTCCGTCTGAATAGTCATCATCATAGTCCTAGTATAGCTAGTCCACCATTTCGAGTCATCATCATCATCTAAGTGTCGTTAGTCCAAGTTACCAAGTCATCATCCACCTCAGCGTATCATTAGTCCACATTCCCTACTCATCATTAGCCTCTAAGTATCGTTAGTCCACATTTCCAAGTCATCATCATCGTCTAAGTATGGTTAGTCCACCTTTTTCAATCACCATCATCGTCTATGTATCGTTAGTCCACCTCACCCAGTTCTCATCATCGTCTAAGTATGGTTAGTCCACCATTTCGAGTCATCATCATCGTCTAAGTATGGTTAGTCCACCTTTTTCAATCACCATCATCGTCTATGTATCGTTAGTCCACATTTCCTACTCATCATTAGCCTCTAAGTATCGTTAGTCCACCTCACCCAGTTCTCATCATCGTCTAAGTATGGTTAGTCCACCATTTCGAGTCATCATCACCTTCTGAGTGTCGTTAGTCCAAGTATTCTAGGTTACTCTCATAAGTTTACTATTGTTAGTCCAAAAGGAAAAGGAAGTCAACAGTTAATTAAATTCAAATTCAAAAGGAAAGTTTATTGAATCAATCATTGGAATTTATTCCAAACTTTTTGGAGAGAAGGAATCATCCCGATACAATTAGGAATTCTCCGTGCGTGAGAGTGGACTAGGTGAGAAATTCAAGTTTTTCCACCGTTTAGGCTCTTTAACCTTAAAACAATAAGGGCAAAATCGACATTTTAAATGATCCTGAGCGGTTGAAAATCAGACCCAGAACCTGTGGAGTGTAAATCAGCTCCGATAATAAGCGATTAATAAAAGGATACGGGTTATTGGTTAGTCACCTGCGAATATGGACTAACGTTGGAAACTTCAGGTCAAAAATTTCTCCCTCGTTCATTTTTTTTAATGAAATAGTTGGGTGAGAAAAATTATCATCATCATCATCATCATTTTCCTCCAATTTATTATCTCCTTTCCTTCATCCTTATGATCCTTTTCATCCCTATCTCCATCCTCATCCTTATCAGCATCTTCCTCTTCATCATCTCCCTCCTCTAAAAAAATCATGGATTCACAAAATGCCTCGACATCTGTAGCAATGGGTGACATTCTATTCATTGTAATGACCGCGCGTAAATATTCATTGGAGTCAGAAATAGAAGCAAATGTTTCCATCATCGCCCTAACCTCAGCCACACACTAACATACAATAAGAAAGAAAAATAGAAGAATAACAAAACAAAATTAATATGAATCTACATAAGAAAATGAGTAAGAAGTTTTTTTTTACCTGTAGAAAATCGGAGTAAACCTTTGCCGACATGGTGAAAGTAGAAATAGAAGAAAAAAAAATTTAAGGTAATAAGAGATGAAAATTTTGAATAAGAAACAAATGAAAAAAAAACTCAATAATCAAAATAAACAAAAAAAAAATTTTTAAGATGAATAATGAAGGCGAATAAGAAGAAAAAGTTGTGTTATTGTTGTTGCAAATAGAAAGACGGAAACAGAAATGACCCCATAGTTGTTGTTGACAACTTTGACCGAACGGTCGAGCGATACATCGAACGCTTCGATGGTATTGACCCAAAGAAAATTTCGTTAATTTAGTTAAATTAGTTAATTGTTCCTCAAGAGGCTTCGGACTAACTAGAAGGGGTGAATGTAATGATCCAAAATTGAAAAGGTTAT